TTTCTATGTCAAACATTTGTTTCAGAACAAATCTGGTCTTTTTCTGCTGGGAACCTGGAGAAAACCTGACAGATGAAAACAAAAACAGAAAGCTGCCTAATCTGCAGCCTCCCTCATGTCAGGAGGAGCACCTACTGTGGTAGACTGGGACACCTGGGGTTTCGGAAAAGGGGGCCCAGCGCAGGTGTGTCTGCACACAGCCCAGTCTGGCTGAGGCCTCAGTGTCACCCCACAGCATAAACAGCCGTCTCCTGCTACCCCACCTCGTCCCATCTGTGTAGCACATTTGATAGATTTTATCCTGAAGGTTGTCTCCCTGTCTGAGCACAAATCCCCAGTCCGAGGCCCAGTGTACCCACAAACTAATGAGAGTGGCATCTGAGCCAACTGCAACTTCCTGTCGCATTTACTTCTAGATTTGAAGGAAAAAATCACCAGTTTGTGAAACAGCGTCTTTTTCCTACGAGAGTTACAGAGGGAGGCTAACGTTTTCGTTTTGTGTAAACTTGGTGCCATCGAATGTTGGAAACAAAAAACAAAACTTGTTTTTGTTATTTTACACTTTATGCTACTTTCCAAGGCTGATCCACCCCCCCCCCGAAATATGACTGACCCCTCACCAACTCTGTGGGACTGAATTGGGCAATGCTAGCTTAGTACAGCTAAGCTGTACTTAGCTAACTGTACTAGCTTAGTACAGCTAAGCTAGCAATGCTAGCTTAGTACAGCTAAGCTAGCATTGCCCAACACCACGGACTGGATGAGAGCATGGATAGGACCAGGAATAGAGTAATATTTTACTTTCTACTTCTACTCCACCATATTTATTATTTATTACTGTAAAGCTTTAGTTACTCGTTATTTTTCAGACACAGTATATTGTTAGATCCTTTTATCCTTACATAGCAATACGTAAACAGTTCATGCGAATCATAAGTCAAAATTTCGAGCCTTTGTTATTTATGTGTGGGTTTCTGTTTTTTAACATGTGTCTGTGTTGATAGTGTGTCTAAATTGTGTACATTTGGTACGTTTAGCTTCATTTTTCTGGTCTGGAGGACGTTTTGGTCCACCGGTTGACTTGTTAGCTTACTTTAGCTTACAGACTGGACAAAGTGGGAAACGACTAGCTTAGTGAAGATAACAAACCTGTTGTGTTTACACTTTGGTTCAAAATGAATGAATAAATGAGAGACGTGTTAATAAATAAGCTTTAAGTTAAGCTAGCAGTTTGTAATTTGGTTTTTTGCTAGGCTAATCTAAAGTAGTCCTATTAAATTGTATTAGTTCATCTCTTTGTTTTGGCAAGTTGATAATAATCTCTCTCCCTGGATAGTTAACAATGAAATCTGCTGTTTTGTGGCCAACAAGCTTGTGTTGCCTGCTTCAAGCCTCAAAGCCACCAGTAATACCAGCAGCCGCACTCCCACTGGGAGATCCCGAATCACTAAAAGGTGAAGGAGCAAAGAAACAAGAAATTAAGCCTCCCAGCAGCAGCACTACCTGAGCTCCTTACATCAAAGGCTGAGCAGAAACCAGCCGGGAAGGAAAAACCTCCCTGCACAGCGCTTTAGCCCACATGTTGACGCTGG